CGCTTGTATTAATTGACTCAGCTAAATATTTCGGATGTCAGTCCAACTCTTTTCCATCAGATCCTTTGCCTGTATATGCTATTCCTTCACAGATATATATATATATATATATTGCTACAATTCACTAGAAGGAAAAAATCATGCCTGGATTTGAAAGTAGATATTGGATATCGACCTCTGCAGGAAATAAACTATTCATCGATGAATAAAAGTTCTGAAGGATTATAATTCTGTTTGCACTGAGAAATGAACAAATCCCATAAGGTACGGAATGGAGCAAACTTATTCCAATCCCTCCTCTAAAGTCGAGTATCTAAGTTACCAAAGTGAATGCACTGATTAATTTATCAAACTGTCTTCTTGACATTGAAAAACTGGCCTCCAAAGTGGTTCATCTTTCCACATCTTCCTGAAGCTTTCGTGATTCCCTTTCGACACTCCAACAGTATATAAAAAAAATGGAGATATGTGTGAAGTTTCGTCACTGTAATATTTTGCCGGTTTGTTTTCTTCCATTTCCCGTACTTTTTGTCCATTTTACAAGCATTTTGATTATATCAGAAGTAAAAAAATTATCCAAAATGTTATATAGGAATAAAGTGACCCTGTCGACATTTGAGTTTGAACATAGATTGCCAATGAACAAACACAGGCGATCCCATTCTTGAATTAAGTAGAACACGTCACCACAGAGAAAACGCATACATGGGAGATAACGTGTCTAATTGATCGGTATTTTTCTTTTCTCACTACACGATCACCATTTCTACGCTATCCTCTATTACTATACGGATCTCTATTCTGCACTCTATTCACTATACAATTTCTCTTTTCGGATTACTATTCGTGTGAGTATTATCGAGCAAGTACTATTAGTGCGAGTGTTATTCGGAGGCGTCCGACACCAGCATTATTCAACGGCGATTACAAAGTCTCTACTACAACGAGCAATTCCCTGTTGATATGAGTCCTTGATTACCACTAAAAACATTTTCACCACGAGTGTTTTGAAGAGAGATGTGAAACACTGGACTACTTTCTCCCAGATCGAGTTGAATAGCCAGTTTCAAGAACTGTGAACACGATCCCGCATCTATACCATCCGCCATGTCATCATCTTCGGCATCTAAAATCACGACAACATCTTTAACACCATCAAGAGCATCATCATCTGATTGAATAGAATTATCACAACCGTCGGAAGATTTATATTCGAACATCTGTGTAAGACGATGAGCTGATTCAGGTGCCGAATATCTTCGGTTTTCAGTCATGAATCTTCAGTAATGTTTTTGAAATAAGGGGGCACGGTGAAATAATGGATAGCGGTTCTTGAAATAATGGGTCATGGTGAAATAATGGATAGCGGTTCTTGAAATAATACGGGGAATAATGGATAGTGGTTCTTGAAATAAGGGGACACAGTGAATAATGGATAGCGGTTCTTGAAATAAGCGGACACGGTGAAATGGATAGCAGTTCTTGAAATAATGATAATGGATGGGTTCTTGAAATAAGGGGACACAGTGAATAATGGATAGCGTTTCTTGAAATAAGCGGACACGGTGAAGTAATGGATAGCGGTTCTTGAAATAAAGGGCGCGGTGAATGCACAGGGAAATAATGGATAGTGGTTCTTGAAATAAGGGACACAGTGAATAATGGATAGCGTTTCTTGAAATAAGCGGACACGGTGAAGTAATGGATAGCGGTTCTTGAAATAAAGGTGCACGGGGAATAATGGATGGATAGTGGTTCTTGAAATAAGGGACACAGTGAATAATGGATAGCGTTTCTTGAAATAAGCGGACACGGTGAAGTAATGGATAGCGGTTCTTGAAATAAGTGTGCACGGGGGAATAATGGATAGTGGTTCTTGAAATAAGGGACACAGTGAATAATGGATAGCGTTTCTTGAAATAAGCGGACACGGTGAAGTAATGGATAGCGGTTCTTGAAATAAGTGTGCACAGGGATAATGGATAGTGGTTCTTGAAATAATGGATAGTGGTTCTTGAAATAAGGGGACACAGTGAATAATGGATAGCGTTTCTTGAAATAAGTGGACACGGTGGAAGTAATGGATAGCGGTTCTTGAAATAAGTGTGCATAGCAGGAAATAATGGATAGTGGTTCTTGAAATAAGGGGACACAGTGAATAATGGATAGCGTTTCTTGAAATAAGCGGACACGGTGAAGTAATGGATAAATAAGCGGACACGTTTCTTGAAATAAGGGGGACACAGAAATAATGGAAGCGTTTCTTGAAATAAGCGGACACGGTGAAGTAATGGATAGCGGTTCTTGAAATAAGTGTGCACGGGGAATAATGGATAGGGACACAGTGAATAATGGATAGCGTTTCTTGAAATAAGGGACACGGTGAAGTAATGGATAGCGGTTCTTGAAATAAGGGACACAGGGAATAATGGATAGCGTTTCTTGAAATAAGCGGACACGGTGAAGTAATGGATAGCGGTTCTTGAAATAAGTGTGCAAAAATAATGGATAGTGGTTCTTGAAATAAGGGGACACAGTGAATAATGGATAGCGTTTCTTGAAATAAGCGGACACGGTGAAGTAATGGATAGCGGTTCTTGAAATAAGTGTGCACAGTGAATAATGGATGAGGATGGTTCTTGAAATAAGCGGACACGGTGAAGTAATGGATAGCGGTTCTTGAAATAAGTGGACACGGGAAATAATGGATAGTAGTTCTTGAAATAAGGGGACACAGTGAATAATGGATAGCGTTTCTTGAAATAATGGACACGGATAGCAGTTCTTAGAAGTAATGGATAGCAGTTCTTGAAATAAGGGGACACAGTGAATAATGGATAGCGTTTCTTGAAATAAGCGGACACGGTGAAGTAATGGATAGCGGTTCTTGAAATAAGTGTGCAGTGGGGAAATAATGGATAGTGGTTCTTTCTTGAAATAAGGGGACACAGTGAATAATGGATAGCGTTTCTTGAAAATGGAAGCGGACTTGAAATAAGGTGAATAGCGTTTCTTGTAATGGATAGCGGTTCTTGAAATAAGTGTGCACAATGGGAAATAATGGATAGTGGTTCTTGAAATAAGGGGACACAGTGAATAATGGATAGCGTTTCTTGAAATAAGCGGACACGGTGAAGTAATGGATAGCGGTTCTTGAAATAAGTGTGCACGGGGAAATAATGGATAGTAGTTCTTGAAAAATAAGGGGACACAGTGAATAATGGATAGCGTTTTCTTGAAATAAGCGGACACGGTGAAAGGGATAGCGGTTCTTGAAATAAGGGGACACAGTGAATAATGGATAGCGTTTCTTGAAATAAGCGGACACGGTGAAGTAATGGATAGCGGTTCTTGAAATAAGTGTGTGCACGGGGAATAATGGATAGTGGTTCTTGAAATAAGGGGACACAGTGAATAATGGATAGCGTTTCTTGAAATAAGCGGACACGGTGAAGTAATGGATAGCGGTTCTTGAAATAAGTGTGCACGGGGGAATAATGGATAGTGGTTCTTGAAATAAGGGGACACAGTGAATAATGGATAGCGTTTCTTGAAATAAGCGGACACGGTGAAGTAATGGATAGATTCTTGAAATAAGGGGACACAGTGAATAATGGATAGCGTTTCTTGAAATAAGCGGACACGGTGAAGTAATGGATAGCGGTTCTTGAAATAAGGGGACACAGTGAATAATGGATAGCGTTTCTTGAAATAAGCGGACACGGTGAAGTAATGGATAGCGGTTCTTGAAATAAGTGTGCACGGGGAAATAATGGATAGTAGTTCTTGAAATAAGGGGACACAGTGAATAATGGATAGCGTTTCTTGAAATAAGCGGACACGGTGAAGTAATGGATAGCGGTTCTTGAAATAAGGGGACACAGTGAATAATGGATAGCGTTTCTTGAAATAAGGGACACGGTGAATAATGGATAGCGGTTCTTGAAATAAGGGACACATAGTGTTCTTGAAATAAGGGGACACAGTGAATAATGGATAGCGTTTCTTGAAATAAGCGGACACGGTGAAGTAATGGATAGCGGTTCTTGAAATAAGCGGACACGCACGTTCTTGGGAAATAATGGATAGTGGTTCTTGAAATAAGGGGACACAGTGAATAATGGATAGCGTTTCTTGAAATAAGCGGACACGGTGAAGTAATGGATAGCGGTTCTTGAAATAAGTGTGCACAGGGAATAATGGATAGTGGTTCTTGAAATGGACACAGTGAATAATGGATAGCGTTTCTTGAAATAAGGGTGACACAGTTCTTGAATAATGGATAATGGATGTTTCTTGAAATAAGGGGACACAGTGAATAATGGATAGCGGTTCTTGAAATAAGCGGACACGGGGAAGTAATGGATAGCGGTTCTTGAAATAAGTGTGACACAGGGAATAATGGATAGCGTTTCTTGAAATAAGGGGACACATGTGAATAATGGATAGCGTTTCTTGAAATAAGCGGACACGGTGAATAATGGATAGCGTTTCTTGAAATAAGGGACACAGTGAATAATGGATAGCGTTTCTTGAAATAAGCGGACACGGTGAAGTAATGGATAGCGGTTCTTGAAATAAGGGGACACAGTGAATAATGGATAGCGTTTCTTGAAATAAGCGGACACGGTGAAGTAATGGATAGCGGTTCTTGAAATAAAAGGGGACACAGTGGGAAATAATGGATAGTAGTTCTTGAAATAATGGATAGTGAATAATGGATAGCGTTTCTTGAAATAAGCGGACACGGTGAAGTAATGGATAGCGGTTCTTGAAATAAGTGTGCACGGGGGAATAATGGATAGTGGTTCTTGAAATAAGGGGACACAGTGAATAATGGATAGCGTTTCTTGAAATAAGCGGACACGGTGAAGTAATGGATAGCGGTTCTTGAAATAAGTGTGCACGGGGAAATAATGGATAGTGGTTCTTGAAATAAGGGGACACAGTGAATAATGGATAGCGTTTCTTGAAATAAGCGGACACGGTGAAGTCTTGATAGCGGTTCTTGAAATAATGGGGACACAGTGAATAATGGATAGCGTTTCTTGAAATAAGCGGACACGGTGAAGTAATGGATAGCGGTTCTTGAAATAAGGGACAGGGAATAATGGATAGCGTTTCTTGAAATAAGCGGACACGGTGAAGTAATGGATAGCGGTTCTTGAAATAAGTGCAAAAATAATGGATAGTGGTTCTTGAAATAAGGGACACAGTGAATAATGGATAGCGTTTCTTGAAATAATGGATAGCAGTTCTTGAAATAATGGATAGGGTTCTTGAAATAGGGGGACACAGTGAATAATGGATAGCGTTTCTTGAAATAAGCGGACACGGTGAAGTAATGGATAGCGGTTCTTGAAATAAGGGGACACAGTGAATAATGGATAGCGTTTCTTGAAATAAGCGGACACGGTGAATAATGGATAGCAGTTCTTGAAATAAGTGTTTAATGGATAGTAGTTCTTGAAATAAGGGACACAGTGAATAATGGATAGCGTTTCTTGAAATAAGCGGACACGGTGAAGTAATGATAGCGGTTCTTGAAATAAGGACGGGGAAATAATGGATAGTGGTTCTTGAAATAAGGGGACACAGTGAATAATGGATAGCGTTTCTTGAAATAAGCGGACACGGTGAAGTAATGGATAGCGGTTCTTGAAATAAGTGTGCACGGGGAAATAATGGATAGTGGTTCTTGAAATAAGGGGACACAGTGAATAATGGATAGCGTTTCTTGAAATAAGAAACACGGTGAAGAAATGGATACGGTTCTTGAAATAATGGATAGATAGTAGTTCTTGAAATAAGGGGACACGGGGAATAATGGATAGCGTTTCTTGAAATAAGCGGACACAGTGAATAATGGATAGCGGTTCTTGAAATAAGGGGACACAGTGAATAATGGATAGCGTTTCTTGAAATAAGCGGACACGGTGAAATAATGGATAGCGGTTCTTGAAATAAGTGTGACACGGGGAAATAATGGATAGCGGTTCTTGAAATAAGGGGACACAGTGAATAATGGATAGCGTTTCTTGAAATAAGCGGACACGGTGAAATAATGGATAGCGGTTCTTGAAATAAGGACACAGTGAATAATGGATAGCGGTTCTTGAAATAAGGGGACACGGTGTAATGGAAAATAATGGATGAATAATGGTTCTTGAAATAAGGGACACAGTGAATAATGGATAGCGGTTCTTGAAATAAGCGGACACGGTGAAGGCTAATGGATAGCGGTTCTTGAAATAAGGGAAATAATGGATAGTAGTTCTTGAAATAAGGGGACAAATAAATGGATAGCGTTTCTTGAAATAAGGACACGGTGAAATAATGGATAGCGGTTCTTGAAATAAGGGACACAGTGAATAATGGATAGCGTTTCTTGAAATAAGCGGACACGGTGAAGTAATGGATAGCGGTTCTTGAAATAAGTGTGGGGAATAATGGATAGTGGTTCTTGAAATAAGGGGGGCACAGTGAATAATGGATAGCGTTTCTTGAAATAAGCCAGGACACGGTGAAATAATGGATAGCGGTTCTTGAAATAATGTGTCACGGGGAAAAAATGGATAGCAGTTCTTGAAATAAGGTGTGAATAATGGATAGCGTTTCTTGAAATAAGCGGACACAGGGAAATAATGGATAGCGGTTCTTGAAATAAGGGGACATGGATAATGGATAGCGGTTCTTGAAATAAGGGGACACAGTGAATAATGGATAGCGGTTCTTGTTTCACCACGAAATAATGGAATAATGGATAGTTCTTCTTGAAATAAGGGACACAGTGAATAATGGATAGCGTTTCTTGAAATAAGCGGACACGGTGAAGTAATGGATAGCGTTTCTTGAAATAAGCGGGAATAATGGATAGTGGTTCTTGAAATAAGGGGACACAGGAATAATGGATTTCTTGAAATAAGGGACACGGTGAATAATGGATAGCGGTTCTTGAAATAAGTGTGCACGGGGGAATAATGGATAGTGGTTCTTGAAATAAGGGGACACAGTGAATAATGGATAGCGTTTCTTGAAATAAGCGGACACGGTGAAGCAATGGATAGCGGTTCTTGAAATAAGTGGGACACAGGAATAATGGATAGCGGTTCTTGAAATAAGGGGACACAGTGAATAATGGATAGCGTTTCTTGAAATAAGCGGACACGGTTAATGGATAGTAGTTCTTGAAATAAGGGACACGAGTGAATAATGGATAGCATTCTTGAAATAAGCGGACACGGTGAAGTAATGGATAGCGTTTCTTGAAATAAGGGACACAAATAATGGATAGCGTTTTGAAATAAGGGACACGGTGAAGTAATGGATAGCGGTTCTTGAAATAAGTGGACACGGGGAATAATGGATAGTGGTTCTTGAAATAAGGGGACACAAGGGAATAATGGATAGGTTTCTTGAAATAAGGACACGGTGAAGTAATGGATAGCGTTTCTTTAAAATAAGTGGACACGGTGAACAATGGATAGCGGTTCTTGAAATAAGGGGACACAGTGAATAATGGATAGCGTTTCTTGAAATAAGCGGACACGGTGAAGTAATGGATAGCGGTTCTTGAAATAAGGGGATACAGGAATAATGGATAGCGTTTCTGAAATAAGCGGACACGGTGAATGGATAGTGGTTCTTGAAATAATGGACACAGTGGAATAATGGATAGCGCGTTTCTTGAAATAAGCGGACACGGTGAAGTAATGGATAGCGGTTCTTCTTAAGAAATAATGGGAAAATTAGTGAATAAGGGGACCATGGGATAATGGATAGGTTCTTGAAATAATGGATGTGAAGTAATGGATTTTGAAATAAGGGGACACAGTGAATAATGGATAGCGTTTCTTGAAATGAAATAAGTAATGGACACGGTTCTTTCAATAAGGTGATAGGGAAAATAATGGATAGTTTCTTGAAATAAGGGGACACAGTGAATAATGGATATTTCTTGGAATAGTGGACACGGTGAAGTTGGAAATCTTGAAATAAGGGACACAATAATGAATAATGGATAGCGTTTCTTGAAATAAGACACGGTGAAATAATGGATAGCGGTTCTTGAAATAAGGGGACACATGAATAATGGATAGCGGTTCTTGAAATAAGCAGACACGGTGAAATAATGGATACGGTGAAGTAATTCTTGAAATAAGTGTGCACGGGGAATAATGGATAGTGGTTCTTGAAATAAGGGGGACACAGTGAATAATGGATAGCGTTTCTTGAAATAAGCGGACACGGTGAAGTAATGGATAGCGGTTCTTGAAATAAGGGGGACACATGAATAATGGATAGCGTTTCTTGAAATAAGCGGACACGGTAGGTGAAGTAATGGATAGCGGTTCTTGAAATAAGTGGACACGGGGAAATAATGGATAGTGGTTCTTGAAATAAGGGGACAGGAGTGAATAATGTTTTGATAGCACGGTTTGATAGCGTTGAAATAAGCGGACACGGTGAAGGAAAGGGTTCTTGAAATAAGGGGTTCTTGAAATAAGTGTGCATAGGGGAATAATGGATAGTGGTTCTTGAAATAAGTCACACAGTGAATAATGGATAGCGTTTCTTGAAATAAGGGGACACGGTGAAATAATGGATAGCGGTTCTTGAAATAAGCGGACACAGTGAATAATGGATAGCGTTTCTTGAAATAAGTGTGCACGGTGAAATAATGGATAGTAGTTCTTGAAATAAGGGGTGAGTGAATAATGGATAGCGTTTCTTGAAATAAGCGGACACGGTGAAGTAATGGATAGCGGTTCTGAAATAATGGGGGAAATAATGGATAGCGGTTCTTGAAATAAGGGGATAATGGATAGCGGTTCTTGAAATAAGGGGACACGGTGAATAATGGATAGCGGTTCTTGAAATAAGCGGACACGGTGAAATAATGGATAGCGTTTCTTGAAATAATGGGACACAGTGAATAATGGATAGCGGTTCTTGAAATAAGTGTGCACGGGGAAATAATGGATAGTGGTTCTTGAAATAAGGGGACACAGTGAATAATGGATAGCGTTTCTTGAAATAAGCGGACACGGTGAAGAATGGATAGCGTTTCTTGAAATAAGCGGACACGGGGAAATAATGGATAGTAGTTCTTGAAATAAGGGACACAGTGGGAATGGATAGCGTTCTAAGGGACACGGTGAAGTAATGGATAGCGGTTCTTGAAATAAGGGGACACAGTGAATAATGGATAGCGTTTCTTGAAATAAGGGACACGGTGGAAGCATAGCGGTTCTTGAAATAAGTGTGCAATGGGGAACAATGGATAGTAGTTCTTGAAATAAGGGGACACAGTGAATAATGGATAGCGTTTCTTGAAATAAGCGGACACGGTGAAGTAATGGATAGCGGTTCTTGAAATAAGGGGACACGGGGAAATAATGGATAGTAGTTCTTGAAATAAGGGACACAGTGAATAATTAGCGTTTCGAAATAAGTGTGGACACGGTGAAATAATGGATAGCGGTTCTTCAATAAGGGGACAGTAAATAATGGATAGTGTTTCTTGGATAGTGGTTCTTGAAATAAGGGGAAATGAATGGATAGATTTCTGAAATAATGGATTAGAAATAAGTGTCACAGGTGAAATAATGGATAGCGGTTCTTGAAATAAGGGACACAGTGAATAATGGATAGCGTTTCTTGAAATAAGCGGACAAAGTAATGGATAGCGGTTCTTGAAATAAGTGTGCACAGGGAAATAATGGATAGTAGTTCTTGAAATAAGGGACACAGTGAATAATGGATAGCGTTTCTTGAAATAATAAGCGGACACGGTGAAGTAATGGATAGCGGTTCTTGAAATAATGGACACAGTGAACTAATGGATAGCGTTTCTTGAAATAAGCGGACACGGTGAAGCAATGGATAGCGGTTCTTGAAATAAGTGGACACGGAACAATGGATAGTAGTTCCTGAAATAAGGGACACAGTGAATAATGGATAGCGTTTCTGAAATAAGGGACACGGTGAAGCAATGGATAGCGGTTCTTGAAATAAGGGGGATCGGAGTGAATAATGGATAGCGGTTCTTGAAATAAGGGGACACAGTGAATAATGGATAGCGGTTCTTGAAATAAGTGTGCACGGGGGAACATGGATGATGGTTTTTAAGGGACAGTGAATAATGGATAGCGTTTCTTGAAATAAGCGGACACAGGAATAATGGATAGCGTTTCTTGAAATAAGTATGCACGGGGAAATAATGGATAGTGGTTCTTGAAATAAGGGACACAGTGAATAATGGATAGCGTTTCTTGAAATAAGGGACACGGTGAAGTAATGGATAGCGGTTCTTGAAATAAGTGTGCACGGGAATAATGGATAGTGGTTCTTGAAATAAGGGACACATGAATAATGGATAGCGTTCTTGAAATAAGGGACACGGTGAAGTAATGGATAGTTCTTGAAATTCTTGGGGAATAAGCGGACACGTTTCTTGAAATAAGCGGACACTGGGTAATGGATAGCGTTTCTTGAAATAATGGATAGCGTTCTTGAAATAAGCAATGGACAGGGTTCTTGAAATAATGGATAGTGGTTCTTGAAATAAGGGGACACAGTGAATAATGGATAGCGTTTCTTGAAATAAGCGGACACGGTGAAGTAATGGATATGGTTCTTGAAATAAGGTTCTTGGGAAATAATGGATAGTAGTTCTTGAAATAAGGGACACAGTGAATAATGGACAATTGAAATAATGGATAGTGGTTCTTGAATGGATAAAGGTTCTTGAAATAAGTACAGATAATGGATAGCGGTTCTTAAATAAGTTAATGGATAGCGGTTCTTGAAATAAGGGGACACAGTGAATAATGGATAGCGGTTCTTGAAATAAGCGGACACAGTGAATAATGGATAGCGTTTCTTGAAATAATGGACACGGTGAATGGATAGCGGTTCTTGAAATAAGTGTGCACAGGGAATAATGGATAGTGGTTCTTGAAATAAGGGACACAGTGAATAATGGATAGCTTTCACGGTGAAATAATGGATAGCGTTTCTTGAAATAAGACACAGTGAAATAATGGATAGCGTTTCTTGAAATAATAATGGATAGTCTTGAAATAAGGGGACACAGTGAATAATGGATAGCGTTTCTTGAAATAAGCGGACACGGTGAAGTAATGGATAGCGGTTCTTGAAATAAGTGTAATGGATAGCGTTTCTGAAATAAGGGAAATAATGGATAGTGGTTCTTGAAATAAGGGGACACAGTGAATAATGGATAGCGTTTCTTGAAATAAGCGGACACGGTGAAAATAATGGATAGCGTTTCTTGAAATAAGGGGACACGGTGAATAATGGATAGCAGTTCTTGAAATAATGGACACAGTGAAGTAATGGATAGTTTCTTGAAATAAGGGGACACAGTGAATAATGGATAGCGTTTCTTGAAATAAGCGGACACGGTGAAATAATGGATAGCGTTTCTTGAAATAATGGGTCACGGGAAGTAATGGATAGCGTTTCTTGAAATAAGGGACACGTGAATAATGGATAGCGGTTCTTGAAATAAGTGTACAATGGATGAAATAATGGATAGTGGTTCTTGAAATAAGGGAGCACAGTGAATAATGGATAGCGTTTCTTGAAATAAGCGGACACGGTGAAGTAATGGATAGCGGTTCTTGAAATAAGTGTGCACGGGGGAATAATGGATAGTGGTTCTTGAAATAAGGGGACACAGTGAATAATGGATAGCGTTTCTTGAAATAAGCGGACACGGTGAAGTAATGGATAGCGGTTCTTGAAATAAGGGGACACAGTGAATAATGGATAGCGTTTCTTGAAATAAGGACACAGTGGAATAATGGATAGCGTTTCTGAAATAAGCGGACACGGTGAATAATGGATAGCGTTCTTGAAATAATCTTGGGTAATAATGGATAGTGGTTCTTGAAATAAGGGTGCAAATAATGGATAGTGTTTCTTGAAAATGGATAGCGTTTCTTGAAATAATGGGAGTGAATAATGGATAGCGGTTCTTGAAATAAGGGACACAGTGAATAATGGATAGCGTTTCTTGAAATAAGTGTGCACGGTGAAATAATGGATAGTGGTTCTTGAAATAAGGATAGGACAGTGAATAATGGATAGCGTTTCTTGAAATAAGTGTGCGGAAATAATGGATAGTGGTTCTTGAAATAATGGATAGCGGTTCTTGAAATAAGGGGACACGGGGAAATAATGGATAGCGTTTCTTGAAATAAACACGGTGAAGTAATGGATAGCGGTTCTTGAAATAAGTGTGCACGGGGGAAATAATGGATAGTGGTTCTTGAAATAAGGGGACACAGTGAATAATGGATAGCGTTTCTTGAAATAAGCGGACACGGTGAAGTAATGGATAGCGGTTCTTAGAAATAAGTGTTTTGAAATAATGGATAGTGGTTCTTGAAATAAGGGACACAGTGAATAGGATAGCGGTTCTTGAAATAAGTGGGACAATGGATAGCAGTGGGACACAGGAATAATGGATAGCGTTTCTTGAAATAATGGACACGGTGAAGTAATGGATAGCGGTTCTTGAAATAAGTGTGCACGGGGAAATAATGGATAGTGGTTCTTGAAATAAGGGGACACAGTGAATAATGGATAGCGTTTCTTGAAATAAGCGGACACGGTGAAGTAATGGATAGCGGTTCTTGAAATAAGTGTGCACAGGAAATAATGGATAGTGGTTCTTGAAATAAGGGGACACAGTGAATAATGGATAGCGTTTCTTGAAATAAGCGGACACGGTGAAATAATGGATAGCGTTTCTTGAAATAATGGGTCACAGTGAATAATGGATAGCGGTTCTTGAAATAACGGGAAGTAATGGATGTGGTTCTTGAAATAAGGGACACTTGAATAATGGATAGCGTTTCTTAGAAATAATGGACACGGTGAAGTAATGGATAGCGGTTCTTGAAATAAGTGGACACAGTGAATAATGGATAGTAGTTCTTGAAATAAGGGGACACAGTGAATAATGGATACTTGAAATAAGCGGACACGAAATAATGGATAGCGTTTCTTGAAATAATGGGTCACGGTGAAATAATGGATAGCTTGAAATAAGTTCACAAAATAATGGATAGTGGTTCTTGAAATAAGGGGACACGGTGAATAATGGATAGTGTTTCTTGAAATAAGGGGACACGGTGAATAATGGATAGCGGTTCTTGAAATAAGCGGACACAGTGAAATAATGGATAGCGTTTCTTGAAATAATGCGGACATGGTGAAGTAATGGATAGCGGTTCTTGAAATAAGTGTGCACGGGGAAATAATGGATAGTGGTTCTTGAAATAAGGGGACAGTGAATAATGGATAGCGTTTCTTGAAATAAGCGGACACAGTGAAATAATGGATAGCGTTTCTTGAAATAATGGGTCAATGGTGAAATAAGCGGACACGTAATGGATAGCGGTTCTTGAAATAAGTGTGCACGGGGAAATAATGGATAGTAGTTCTTGAAATAAGGGGACACAGTGAATAATGGATAGCGTTTCTTGAAATAAGCGGACACGGTGAAGTAATGGATAGCGGTTCTTGAAATAAGGGGACACAGTGAATAATGGATAGCGTTTCTTGAAATAAGCGGACACGGTGAAGTAATGGATAGCGGTTCTTGAAATAAGTGTGCACGGGGGAATAATGGATAGTGGTTCTTGAAATAAGGGGACACAGTGAATAATGGATAGCGTTTCTTGAAATAAGACACGGTGAATAATGGATAGCGGTTCTTGAAATAATGGGACACAGTAATGGATAGCGGTTCTTGAAATAAGTGTGACACGGGGAAATAATGGATAGTGGTTCTTGAAATAAGGGGACACAGTGAATAATGGATAGCGTTTCTTGAAATAAGCGGACACGGTGAAATAATGGATAGCGTTTCTTGAAATAATGGGTCATAATGAAGTAATGGATAGCGGTTCTTGAAATAAGTGTGCACGGGGAAATAATGGATAGTGGTTCTTGAAATAAGGGGACACAGGAAATAATGGATAGCGTTTCTTGAAATAAGGGACACGGTGAATAATGGATAGCGTTTCTTGAAATAAGTGGTGAAATGGATAGAAAATAATGGATAATGGATGGTTCTTGAAATAAGGGGACACAGTGAATAATGGATAGCGTTTCTTGAAATAAGCGGACACGGTGAAGTAATGGATAGCGGTTCTTGAAATAATGTGCACAGGGAAATAATGGATAGTAGTTCTTGAAATAAAGGGTCACAGTGAATAATGGATAGCGTTTCTTGAAATAAGCGGACACGGTGAACGGATAGCGTTTCTTAAGAAATAATGGACGGGGGAAATAATGGATAGTGGTTCTTGAAATAATAATGGGACACAGTGAATAATGGATAGCGTTTCTTGAAATAAGCGGACACGGTGAAGTAATGGATAGCGGTTCTTGAAATAAGTGTGCACGGGGAAATAATGGATAGTGGTTCTTGAAATAAGGGGACACAGTGAATAATGGATAGCGTTTCTTGAAATAAGCGGACACGGTGAAATAATGGATAGCGTTTCTTGAAATAATGGGTCATGGGGAAATAATGGATAGTAGTTCTTGAAATAAGGGACACAGTGAATAATGGATAGCGTTTGAAATAAGCGGACACACGGTGAAATAATGGATAGGGTCATAATGGTTTCTTGAAATAAGTGTGCACGGGGAAATAATGGATAGTGGTTCTTGAAATAAGGGGACACAGGATGGATAGCGTTTCTTGAAATAAGCGGACACGGTGAAGTAATGGATAGCGGTTCTTGAAATAAGTGTGCACGGGAAATAATGGATAGTGGTTCTTGAAATAAGGGGACACAGTGAATAATGGATAGCGTTTCTTGAAATAAGCGGACACGGTGAAGTAATGGATAGCGGTTCTTGAAATAAGTGTGCACGGGGAAATAATGGATAGTAGTTCTTGAAATAAGGGGGACACAGTGAATAATGGATAGCGTTTCTTGAAATAAGCGGACACAGTGAAAATAATGGATAGCAGTTCTTGAAATAAGTGTGCACGGGGAAATAATGGATAGTAGTTCTTGAAATAAGGGGACACAGTGAATAATGGATAGCGTTTCTTGAAATAAGCGGACACGGTGAAGTAATGGATAGCGGTTCTTGAAATAAGTGTGCACGGGGGAATAATGGATAGTGGTTCTTGAAATAAGGGACACAGTGAATAATGGATAGCGTTTCTTGAAATAAGCGGACAATGGATAGAAATAATGGGGAATAATGATAGTGGTTCTTGAAATAAGGGGACAATGAATAATGGGCGTTTCAAATAAGTGACACGGTAATGGATAGCGGTTCTTGAAATAAGTGTGCACGGGGAATAATGGATAGTGGTTCTTGAAATAAGGGGACACAGTGAATAATGGATAGCGTTTCTTGAAATAAGGGACACGGTGAAGTAATGGATAGCGGTTCTTGAAATAAGTGTGCACAGGGAAATAATGGATAGTGGTTCTTGAAATAAGGGGACACAGTGAATAATGGATAGCGTTTCTTGAAATAAGCGGACACGGTGAAGTAATGGATAGCGGTTCTTGAAATAAGTGTGCACAGGGGAATAATGGATAGTGGTTTCTTGAAATAAGGGGACACAGTGAATAATGGATAGCAGTTCTTGAAATAAGTTTGCACGGAAATGGATAGCGTTCTTGACACGGTGGGGAATAATGGATAGCGTTTCTTGAAATAATGGGTCATAGCGGTTCTTGGTGAAGTAATGGATGGCGGTTCTTGGATAGCGGTTCTTGAAATAAGTGCACAGGGGAAATAATGGATAGTGGTTCTTGAAATAAGGGACACAGTGAATAATGGATAGCGTTTCTTGAAATAAGCGGACACGGTGAAGTAATGGATAGCGGTTCTTGAAATAAGTGTGCACGGGGAAATAATGGATAGTGGTTCTTGAAATAAAGGGGACACAGTGAATAATGGATAGCGTTTCTTGAAATAAGCGGACACGGTGAAGTAATGGATAGCAGTTCTTGAAATAAGTGTGCACGGGGAAATAATGGATAGTGGTTCTTGAAAATAAGGGGACACAGTGAATAATGGATAGCGTTTCTTGAAATAAGCGGACACGGTGAAATAATGGATAGCGGTTCTTCTTGAAAATGGATGGGTCATGAAGTAATGGACACAGTGAAATAATGGATAGCGTTCTTGAAATAAGGGGGAATAATGATAGTGCACACGGTGAAGTAATGGATAGCGGTTCTTGAAATAAGTAATGGATAATGGATGGTTCTTGAAATAAGGGGACACAGTGAATAATGGATAGCGTTTCTTGAAATAATGGGACATGGTGAAGTAATGGATAGCGGTTCTTGAAATAAGTGTGCACGGGGAAATAATGGATAGTGGTTCTTGAAATAAGGGACACAGTGAATAATGGATAGCGTTTCTTGAAATAAGCGGACACGGTGAAGTAATGGATAGCGGTTCTTGAAATAAGTGCACGGGGAAATAATGGATAGTGGTTCTTGAAATAAGGGGACACAGTGAATAATGGATAGCGTTTCTTGAAATAAGCGGACACGGTGAAATAATGGATAGCGGTTCTTGAAATAATGGGTCATGAAACAAGAATAATGGATAGCAGTTCTTGAAATAAGTGTGCACAGTGAAATAATGGATAGTGGTTCTTGAAATAAGGGGACACAGTGAATAATGGATAGCGTTCTTGAAATAATGGATAGCGGTTCTTGAAATAAGACACAGTGAATAATGGATAGCGGTTCTTGAAATAAGTGGACACGGTGCACGGGGAAATAATGGATAAGTGGTTTCTTGAAATAAGGACACAGTGAATAATGGATAGCGTTTCTTGAAATAAGCGGACACGGTGAAATAATGGATAGCGTTTCTTGAAATAATGGGTCACAGTGAATAATGGATAGCGGTTCTTGAAATAAGGACACGGTGAAATAATGGATAGTGGTTCTTGAAATAATAGTGGTTCTTGAAATAAGACACAGTGAATAATGGATAGCGTTTCTTGAAATAAGCGGACACGGTGAAGTAATGGATAGCGGTTCTTGAAATAAGTGTGCACGGGGAAATAATGGATAGTGGTTCTTGAAATAAGGGGACACAGTGAATAATGGATAGCGTTTCTTGAAATAAGCGGACACGGTGAAGTAATGGATAGCGGTTCTTGAAATAAGTGTGGTTCAAAATAAGGGGAAATAATGGATAGGATGGTTCTTGAAATAAGGGACACGGTGAAATAATGGATAATGGATAGCGGTTTCTTGAAATAATGGATAGTCATGGTGAAGTAAATAATGGATAGCGTTTCTTGAAATAAGTGGACACGGTGAAATAATGGATATGGTTCTTGAAATAAGGGGGACACAGTGAATAATGGATAGCGTTTCTTGAAATAAGCGGACACGGTGAAGCAATGGATAGCGGTTCTTGAAATAAGTGTGCACGGGAAATAATGGATAGTAGTTCTTGAAATAAGGGGACACAGTGAATAATGGATAGCGTTTCTTGAAATAAGCGGACACGGTGAAAAATAATGGATAGCGTTCTTGAAATAATGGGTCATGGGTCATGGTGAAGTAATGGATAGCGGTTCTTGAAATAAGTGTGCACGGGTTCTTGAAATAATGGATAGTGGTTCTTGAAATAAGGGGACACAGTGAATAATGGATAGCGTTTAGTGGTTCTTGAAATAAGCGGACACGGTGAAGTAATGGATAGCGGTTCTTGAAATAAGTGTGCACAGGGAAATAATGGATAGTGGTTCTTGAAATAAGGGGATAGTGGTTCTTGGAGAATAATGGATAGCGGTTCTTGAAATAAGTGACACGGATGAAATAATGGATAGCGTTCTTGAAATAATGGGTCATGGTGAAGTAATGGATAGCGGTTCTTGAAATAAGTGTGCACGGGGAAATAATGGATAGTGGTTCTTGAAATAAGGGGACACAGTGAATAATGGATAGCGTTTCTTGAAATAAGCGGACACGGTGAAGTAATGGATAGCGGTTCTTGAAATAAGTGTGCACGGGGAAATAATGGATAGTGGTTCTTGAAATAAGGGGACACAGTGAATAATGGATAGCGTTTCTTGAAATAAGCGGACACGGTGAAGTAATGGATAGCGGTTCTTGAAATAAATAAGCACAGGGGAAATAATGGATAGTGGTTCTTGAAATAAGGGGACACAGTGAATAATGGATAGCGTTTCTTGAAATAAGCGGACACGGTGAAGTAATGGATAGCGGTTCTTGAAATAAGCGGTTCTTGAAAAGTGTGCAGGGGGAATAATGGATAGTGGTTCTTGAAATAAGGGACACAGTGAATAATGGATAGCGGTTCTTGAAATAAGGGGACACGGTGAATAATGGATAGCGGTTCTTGAAATAAGTGTGCACGGGGGAAATAATGGAAATAAATAAGGGGACACAGTGAATAATGGACTTGAAATAAGCGGACACGGTGAAATAATGGATAGCGGTTCTTGAAATAAGTGTGCATGGGGAAATAATGGATAGTGGTTCTTGAAATAAGGGGGACACAGTGAATAATGGATAGCGTTTCTTGAAATAAGCGGACACGGTGAAATAATGGATAGCGGTTCTTGAAATAAGTGTGCACGGGGAAATAATGGATAGTGGTTCTTGAAATAAGGGGACACAGTGAATAATGGATAGCGTTTCTTGAAATAAGCGGACACGGTGAAATAATGGATAGCGGTTCTTGAAATAAGTGTGCACGGGGAAATAATGGATAGTGGTTCTTGAAATAAGGGACACAGTGAATAATGGATAGCGTTTCTTGAAATAAGCGGACACGGTGAAGTAATGGATAGCGGTTCTTGAAATAAGTGTGCATGGGGAAATAATGGATAGTGGTTCTTGAAATAAGGGACACAGTGAATAATGGATAGCGTTTCTTGAAATAAGCGGACACGGTGAAATAATGGATAGCGTTTCTTGAAATAAGTGTGCACGGGGAAATAATGGATAGTGGTTCTTGAAATAAGGGACACAGTGAATAATGGATAGCGTTTCTTGAAATAAGCGGACACGGTGAAATAATGGATAGCGTTTCTTGAAATAATGGGTCATGGTGAAGTAATGGATAGCGTTTCTTGAAATAAGGATGTTCTTGACGGGGAAATAATGGATAGTGGTTCTTGAAATAAGGGGACACAGTGAATAATGGATAGCGTTTCTTGAAATAAGCGGACACGGTGAAATAATGGATAGCGTTTCTTGAAATAATGGGTCATGGTGAATAATGGATAGCGGTTCTTGAAATAAGTGTGCACGGGGAAATAATGGATAGTGGTTCTTGAAATAAGGGGGACACAGTGAATAATGGATAGCGTTTCTTGAAATAAGCGGACACGGTGAAATAATGGATAGCGTTTCTTGAAATAATGGGTCATGGTGAAGTAATGGATAGCGGTTCTTGAAATAAGTGTGCACGGGGAAATAATGGATAGTGGTTCTTGAAATAAGGGGACACAGTGAATAATGGATAGCGTTTCTTGAAATAAGCGGACACGGTGAAGTAATGGATAGCGGTTCTTGAAATAAGTGTGCACGGGGAAATAATGGATAGTGGTTCTTGAAATAAGGGGACACAGTGAATAATGGATAGCGTTTCTTGAAATAAGCGGACACGGTGAAATAATGGATAGCGTTTCTTGAAATAAGTGTGCACGGGGAAATAATGGATAGTGGTTCTTGAAATAAGGGGACACAGTGAATAATGGATAGCGATTCTTGAAATAAGCGGACACGGTGAAATAATGGATAGCGTTTCTTGAAATAATGGGTCATGGTGAAGTAATGGATAGCGGTTCTTGAAATAAGTGTGCACGGGGAAATAATGGATAGTGGTTCTTGAAATAAGGGGACACAGTGAATAATGGATAGCGTTTCTTGAAATAAGCGGACACGGTGAAATAATGGATAGCGTTTCTTGAAATAATGGGTCATGGTGAAGTAATGGATAGCGGTTCTTGAAATAAGTGTGCACGGCAAATAATGGATAGTGGTTCTTGAAAGAAGGGGACACAGTGAATAATGGATAGCGTTTCTTGAAATAAGCGGACACGGTGAAATAATGGATAGCGTTTCTTGAAATAATGGGTCATGGTGAAGTAATGGATAGCGGTTCTTGAAATAAGTGTGCACAGGAAATAATGGATAGTGGTTCTTGAAATAAGGGGACACAGTGAATAATGGATAGCGTTTCTTGAAATAAGCGGACACGGTGAAATAATGGATAGCGTTTCTTGAAATAATGGGTCATGGTGAAGTAATGGATAGCGGTTCTTGAAATAAGTGTGCACGGGGAAATAATGGATAGTGGTTCTTGAAATAAGGGGACACAGTGAATAATGGATAGCGTTTCTTGAAATAAGCGGACACGGTGAAATAATAGGTAACGGTTCTTGAAATAAGTAGGGACCGTGAAGTAATGGATAGCGGTTCTTGAAATAAGGTGGCACGGTGAAGTAATCGATAGCGATTTTTAAAATAAGGGGGCGCGATGAAGTAATGGATAGCGGTTCGGATTGAGGAATCGGAGAGCCAAGTTCGAATTCCAATCGAATACAATACATTCAGTTGCTAATACCCTTGGAAAATACCCTTCTTCTCTCCCCAGCTATGGGTAAAATGCACGACACACTGGATGGCAAGTGATCTACCATAGAAAGACATGACAGCCTTCTGCGGGAAAAATATGCCCGGTCAGTCATTTATCGAAAGTTATATGATCACCTATGCGTGTATCACGCATGGCACATAACTGAATGGCTGAATGACTTGTTTCAAAATTCGTTTTCAGTAAAAAAGAAAAAGAAAAAAAAAAAATGTACCTTCAATCTGTAGGGAACTAAGATCCTTACTATCGGTAATATGCAAACGGAAAAAGTAAACAATACGTCAGCTAACGTATAGAGGTAAAAAAATCATAAGCGCTTAAACCGGGTGCCTGTAGACCCATCATCGGTGTGGACATAATTACACATATTTCAATATTAATGTGGTTATACGTTTTGGCAAATTAAAAAATAAAGTTGATAGATAAATTTTAAAGAATAGCCGGAAAATGATCAAAGATACAATGTGATACAAATAATTTTCACTTCATACGATTTGGGATCTTCAAGGACCCAATATAGGCACTTAAGTGTTCAACCGTAAATATTCTTTGTAACTCAATAAACATTAATATTTATTAATTTTAAACGTCATTGCGGTTTGCAAATATATTTATTATCATTTAAAGAGTCAGTACATTTTCTAGAACATTAGACACACGCGCGTGCGCGCACACACACTTACATAATGATAATATATAATAATATAATATATATAACTAGCAGTAGAGGCCGGCGTTGCCCAGGGATGTAACAGTAAGAGATAGATCAAGTATCGACCATCATAAAGACTGAAAAATAAAATTGACAAAGATTATTGTTTAAGGTTGACGGACACGCATGTCTTAATTAGTTTGTTTGGTTTTGTTTTTCTTACGAATTGGTCAAACCCAAACTCAAACAAAAACATTGTTTACATTTACAATCGTTATGAGTCTATCGATTGATGAATAGAATTTTATTATAAACAATTGTCTTGTAAATGGAATTTTTAAAGCATTCTGAATGTAAAAATAAAGAAAAAATGTGCAAGACAATAAGAAACACTACATGCCAAAAAAAAGTCAAGTTTTGTTGAAATCGGTTGAAAAATGTAGGTAGCCTTTCTGTAATCTTTTAGTTTTACTATTTATGATTTTTACTTATTGAATACAGTAAAAAAAATGCATATTTTGCTTGTGGTGATTCATAATTAGAATTCTGATTTGAATATATTTTCCACTCGTTGTTTCTAATACAAAAAAATATTAACTTTATTTGGGTTTATTAATTTATTACAAGTACTGTGTTCTTTCCTTAATAATCTTCGAAATATTGTTGTTTTTTGTCTATCAGATTTCATACGTCGGCATTTTTAAATTATTTCTTAATACTTTCTTATAAATATTGAATTAATTTCAAATAGAACCAATGCCTTATTGATCTGCCTTGTAACAAATTGCAAAGGGAATTGTAAAAACGGCCCTAAAGTACGTGGAATTATTTTTCCCTAAAGATAAAGAATTATCCGATTTTTCGATTCGTACAATCAGTAGAGATAGTTAGATTGTTTAGGTTGACAGACACGCATGTCTTAGTTTTTGTTTTTTTACGAATTGGTCAAACCCAAACTCAAACAAAAACATTGTTTTCAATCGTTATGATGAGTCCCCCGATTGAATTGAATTAGATTAGAATTTTATTATAAACAATTGTCTTGTAAATGAAATTTTTAAAGCATTCTGAATGTATAAATAAAGAAAAAAGTGTGCAAGACAATAAGGAACACTACCTGCCAAAAAAAAAGTGGATGTTTGTTTTATCGGCTGCAAAATGTAAGAAATCCGATCCCATATATAAAGGAACACACACACACACACAAACAACCTGATTTTTTTAACCCGATGTGAGTTGTCTCCCTTTCATTCTCACGATGTGTCTTAATCGTGTTTTCAAATTGATTTTGTTAAAAAACCAATTATATTTTTCCCATTTTCGGCGCCGTTAGAACCACCACAAGGTAATTTTATGTAGTCATGTGAAGTTTTGTTGAAATCATCTAAAAATGTAGGAAATCCAATCCAATATATAAACGTTACAGACGCACACACACACACAATCTGCGTTTTATAATAAGTAAGATAATATATAAAATGGCGATAATTTCTCAATCGCACACTATATGCATATAAGAAAATATATATATATATATATATATATATATATATATATATATATATATATATATATATATTCTCACATGCATACAGAGTGATGGGTAAATTCTCGGTATTTTAGATTTTTCATTTCATGGATTGATTGTTTCAGATCTTGTCGATTGCATAGTATAGTAAGGTTAGTTGGGAAGTGTCTGTGAGGAAAAGAGTACCATGACTGAATTACCTGTGCCAGAAATTTAGAAACGGCACGGGGTACTGCTTGGAAGCTCTAATACGAACACTTCAGTGTTTGGGTTCAATCTGACAACAGTGCAAAAAATTAGAAAAGAGTTGGATGAGTCTAATGGTGATTACAAAGGTTTTCGAAGTGCTGCAATTTTGATTTTATCGAGGTAGGAGCGCACTGTCTGCGTAGCTATGAAGTTGACCTATGATGTCATCATGAAGGTCATTAGTGAAAATTAAATTTGTAGTAGGACGAAAGGTGTAGCCCTATGGCGCACCAGCGTTAGTAGAAAAGAATCTAAACGAGTGGCTGCTCGGGATAAATCTTATTTCACAATTTCAGGGAAAAGACTGGATCAGTTCAAAAAAGAGATCAGAGACAGCGTAACTTTTCAGCTAAAATGACCTAAATGCCAGACTCAGTAAAATGCCTTCGTGATGTCCAATGCAACTGTTGAAACTTGATTAATGCATGGAATAATAATGCAACAGAAAATGTACTTAGAACAAAATGTATTGAAACAAGAAAGTGTACACAATATTTACATATAGTCTTTTGTATATTCCTGGTAAGACCGTTCCTGGAGAATGTGTTGACTGAGTCGCAGTCGGGCAGAGTCTCTGGTTGAATCTCTTGATTCCTTCCTCTCTTCCCGGTACCAACCATATTTATATGGTCGGTACTCCACTATGCAAATTAGGTGGATCCTACCACAACAGCAACTTATCAATTTTCCTTTCGGTTTTGGATCTTCCAGAAACGCATTATTCAGAAAATGATCTCAATAATCTAGACCTGACTTTGAACTCGTCTCCTCGAATTCCATTGAAGCGCCCAGCATGATACATGATGAAACATGCGCTTTTAGCCTTTCAGTTTTCTGATCTGTAATTGCCAATACATTTATATAACTTTGCGCTGTCGTTTTATGTTGGTTGATATAGATTTTGTTAACATGGACACAAAACGAGAACAAAAGTTCGACATAAAACAAGCATATTAAAAATTACACATCTCCACAATAAGATACTAAATTGTGAAAAGCAATACAAACTCGGCAACATAACCATATGCCAAAACCTATCTGATTATAAAACCTCCAAAATCACAAATATCTAACGGAAAATTGGCCTAGTGGATATAGCCGTTGATTATCCCTGATTTCAAACAATAGATCTGGTCGGTAAGAATAGGGTTCCTGCCAGAACGAAAAATAACTGACATCAGAGGAAATTAAATACAATAAAGATAATCAACAGATATCCTATATCAGCCAAGCAATGGCCACCTGATCATGACCAGCGGGTACTTGGTTGAAACGATGCCTTCATAATAATAACATCAAGATCAGAAAAATAGTTCGAAATAAAAAAGCGAATGCCAGTGTGTCACTGTGTCACCTTTTTTCAACTTTACACCTAGAGGTCATATCCCAAAATGATGTATGGGAATCAGGCCGACTCTTTAAGGAAATTAAAAAAAAAAATAATTCGGGTAGTATCCGGCCCCGCCATCCCAAAATTTCATGACTGCGATTATGCTCGGATTCCATTATCTTGGTTTCTACTGATAAAAAAAAAAATTAAAGGGACACAACTCTCTAACTTTCAATAGCTGATGCTCAAATGAAAAAAATACTGTTCTTAAATTACAGTGTTTCAAAATAAAATTGTCTGTGTTTTGAACTTTAATTCTAGAGGCCGTAGCCCAACATATACCATTTTGGAATTTAGCCGAATATTCTCAGCCGTAGACGCAATCCTGAAATTCTGAATTCCCAAGTTTTTATTACTCCGAATTTTTAAGTGATTCTTTTGTGATGAATTTTTGTTTTGCTCGATAACAATTTTTATAACTTGAAAACAAATTTGGGAATAATCGATATTAAGTGTGAAATCCAGCGAAAGTCAACCATATAAAAATCATTGTTCGTACGCAAAGTAA